TCTTTACTAATCCTCCTGGCGCGGTGCACCTTTGTTGGCCTGAGAGTTCTTGAGCAACCTACACGATGACATACAATTGTGCAAAGGAAATTTTTTGTCTCACAAAATTGTCTATCTTGTAATTAACTTGTTGTCAGTACTTTAATTCAAGTGATGTCTCAACTCAAAATTCAAGTCTGCAAATTGTAGAGATCTACATGAAAGCTTTGAGCTCAAACGACTGTTTCTAATTTAGATTCAAGTATGTTTTGTCAACAGTGTTAAAATAATAAATAAAGTTAGGCTATATTGAAAACTTACAAAAAGAATTTTGAATAAATCTTTTTTAAAACTGTGAGCTATACATTTACCTCCAAAATGATCTGTGACTACAAAAAGGGTAAACAGTATAATATTGTGATAACTTAACTGTGCCCTGCAAATTCTAACAAACCATTAAGTTGGAAGCAATGGTGACAAAGATATATTTTAAGTGGTTAAGACAGGTGGTAAGATAATTTCAAGACACAAAATATTAATTAGTAGAATCTACTGAGTGGGAGGTGTCAGTATTTCTAATTTGTTAACAAAAACATGCACTACTGATTTAGCTTCAAAGCTGGTTAAACTACAATGAAATATATTTTGTTTTTTTACTCTGACTGCATATTCTGTTTCACTGAGAAAAGTGCTGTGAGTTCTTTTTTTTTCTTTTCAGTTTTATCTGGATATTAACTAATTTTGAATTGGAAGATGAAAAGTAATTATTTTCAAACATGAATAATGCCACCAAAGGGAGTATAATTGACCTGTTATAAATAATTTATAAAAATTTATTAGAAAGAAGAACTTGAAAATAGAAAGTACATGGTACAGAGTCCCAAAACAGATTTTTAATACTGCATGAACTTTATATCATACTTGATTTAGTTTGGATCTTTCAACATTCTTTGTTCATCAGTTTCATATGTTGCATTGATGTCAAAACTAAAATCTCCTTATAACGAGGACCATAAACATGTCAAACTGTCTGCATTCATTAACAAGTCTGTGATAATAAAGGGAGAATGTCTGAAAGATGTTAGTTCTAGAATTATAACAACTTAAAGCATTATCAAACCAGCAAAAATGCTTAACTGACATTAATAAATCAAGGTGTGTTTAGTGCAGGAAACTGTCACAAGAAAGAAAATTACTGCACTGTTACAAAACATAGCCTACACTGTAGATAACAATATTTTTTTCAAAATTATTAAACAAAAATGATGAGTGAATTCTGATTATGGAAATTTTATATTACCACAACTGTCAAATTTAGAGCTTTTAGTCGGTGTGGAAGCTAAGCTCATATTTTAAACACTGAAAAGCCTCTTTGGTCATGAAGGGTTTAAATTACAAGTTCTACATGAGTACAGTCAGGCAACCAGAATATTTTTCTTAAAATATTGTGTTTCCCCTGGATGCAAGTTTGTTTAAAAAATGCTCTTTGTTAATTGAAACAATAACGTATGTATAAACAAGGACAAGAATCCAAGGTTAATGTTCCTAATTAGATGTCAACAAGTAAGAAGAGAAAAACATAACACATGATAAGATACTGGTCAAGAATAAGCTAGCATGACCATAAAATATTATTTGTAGGAAATAGCAAAAACTGGAAAAAGTAAACAAAAATAAGCATTACCACATTCATGAGTAAACATAATGATTAATGTAAACTATAGTATAGTGAAGCAATACACTGTCAAAGAATTATCAGCTATAAGATCTACTATTATAGTTATAAATCCAAAGCTCACACACAAGAAAAACAAACCTTTGGATCATACATCCTGTAGGCCCCAGGTGCTCTTATATACTCAGGTCTGGGTAAACTGGAAAGAGAAAGTTATCAAAATCATTAATTTTCAAGTTGATCATTGATGATTAAAAGGAGTGTATCATTGTACTTTTCATGGAAACCTGGCACAACAAGTCAGACACAATAAAAGGAAGCTTAGAATCCTCATTGTATTTTGAGTTGGTTTTGCACTATTCAAAATTTACAATTACTAGCTTGGGAGAAAACTTCAAATTAACATAATCATATCTCCCTTAAAACATTCTTCATGAGCTGGCCGTATGTTGGAGAATAAAAAATGAAGTTGGTAAACTAATCATTCTAACTTACACTTCTGGCTCTTGTTTGGGTGACACTTCTTCCCTTTCTCCTCCCACCTTCCCTTCTTCATCTAGCTTCTTCCCTTCTTCATCTAGCTTCTTCTCCTCATCTTCTGTTTTAATTGCCTCCACAGATTGACCTGGAGCAACAGGAGGTGGTTTTGGCAGTGGTGGCTTTTCAACCTCCTTGCGCTCAAATAAAGGCGTTGTTCTCTTCTGTGTGCCTGGTGCTACTTTGGGCTCCTTGCGCGTAAATGTTGGGGAGGGTTTTAAAATAGGTTTAACCACTGGCTCCTTCTTTTCTTCTTTAGGTGATGGTGACTTAAAACTTGTAAGAATAAGAGAATCCGAGAACTTCACTTGAAGTTTTTGTGCTTTGTGTGTCTCCTCCTCTGCCTTCTGAGGAACCTCACTGAGCTTTTGAGCCACAGGCTCATCTTCTACTTCATTCTCTGGTTGTTTTTCAATCTGAGCAGGTTCATCCACAGGCTCTGGCACAACAACCTCTTCCCTTACTTCATCTAAGCTTATATCTCCTGCTTGAATCATATCTTCTTGGGCTGCCCACTGTGGAATCTCTGGAACATCATTGTGTATATCAGCATCACATTCATCATTTGTGCTAGCCTCTGTTTGCTCTTCTTTAGCGTTTTCAGGAGATGGACTCTGATCTGGTTCCAACTTAGTTATGATAATTTCAGCAACAGGTTCCAAAGGGTCTGCATCTGAAGTCTTGATGTCAGCTTGAGGTTGTTCTTGAGTTGACACATGAGTCATTTGATTATCAGGCCAATATTTGACACCTTCTCCTTCTTTGTCATTCAAATATTTTTCAGTAAGTCCTTCACAGGGGTTGGTATCTAAATTCTGTTCTGTTTGTAACTCTTCATCTGTAGATAGACCAGAAAATTTTGAAAATAATATAATTTTCAAATAAAGTTATTTCAAATCCAGACATATAATACAGTACCTCAAACTGGCTGAATATCTTGGAACTTCCAAATATATTATGTTTGTTCCAGCTTATAACTATATGCTGCCATGAGTAAACTTAGGTCAATGTCTAACAATATTTACACCCTACACATCCAGAACCCTTTAGACTAACTTTAAACACGGCTGCAAATAACTAACGGGCAGTCACTGGTCACATTGTCCGGTCAAGCATGCTTTTGCTCAGACACTTCCCGTTTTTTACCAGTCAAATTTTAACAGTCGGAACTCTTGCGATAGTGAACCCAGATTGCACAGTAACCCTTTTACAATTAAAAAACAACTGAATCCAAGTCGGTCTGGCATTTAAAAATTACAAGTTAATAACTTTACTACGGCAGAAGCAGTCTCGCATTGAGCACGTGGAATGGTTACACAAGATACAACCGTAATTGTCCGTTTTACTTTACATCTGGCAATATCACTTCTAATTAAATATTACACTTTGGCAATCACCACATCAGTTCTACAACTGAACTTAAGTAAAATATGCAGAATGTGTGAAAGCTGCTGAAGAGTTCAATCGATCTCTTAATTAAGCTAACTGAAATGTAAGCTTAAATATAAATATGAAACACTTTACTTTAACTCGTATGGCCACAAGGGTTTCGAAATTCGGCAACACTGTATCTAACTGTATAAAATGCATGGGTTCATATTCCAAGTGTTGCGCTCGCTGACTTTCTTCCACTTAGAATCCCTTAAAGACAACCTTACTCTTTCACTTTTTGTGTTATACGGTCGTGACAGGATTTGATGACATCTCTGAAATTTGCGACTGCCCRGGAATTTCTCAACCACTAATTTGTCTACTTTTATATTGTTTTTTTTTTTTCTTTTGGAAACATGACTGTTGTCCCTTGTGATTATCAAACAGTTAAAAAATTAAATTTCTTTGAAAGAGTCGGTAAAGGACCGGACAAGATGTCCGGCAATCCAAGGATTTGTCCGGTCAGTACCCAATTTTGACCGGACATTGTCCATTGACCGGCCATTATTTGCAGCCCTGTTAAATAAAAAAAAAAACCCCTTACAACTACATCCCATCCGAGCAGTATCAATGGATTATTCTTGTCCTGACCAAAGACTTGTAACTGAGACAATGTAAACACCAGGAATAGGACCCAAACCATACTGGGGAAAAAGAGGGGGACAAGTTTCTAAAGAAGCTGTGATGCAACATCAGCGGGGGGTATTACAAAATAATTTGTTTCTATCAACGGAGTTGATAAATAAATGTAAATTGCCACTAACTGTAAAAAGGTATCTAAAGCTGACATTTCAAGCATTATAGCCCTTCTGGTGGAAGGCTAGCATCCAAATCACTGTTTATATCCCAGTATAGATTTTGTCCATACTGATCTCTAGAAGAAGAAATTTTTTTAATACAGAGTTTCTTTAATTGGCAATCATCCCCTTTATTCAATATTTGACTTAGCAGTGATATGGTAAGAAGAAATTAGATACTAGCCACTCTTTGAGGCTATATAAAGAGTTCATCCATACCTCTTAGTTCTGTTGAGTATCTCCCCTCTGTGAATGATGCCTCAGAGGGTGAAGCAGGTACAATAAACTGTTCTTCAAACAGCACTGTTTCATCAAAGTCATCCTCATAATTTAAAGGGAAATCAAGTTGGTTGTCATTTAGTAAAGAGGGATCATCATCAGGACAAGTTTTAGGATGACTGCCTTCCCCACGTACCCAAAATCCTGCTGGTTTCACAAAGTGAAGATATTTTGGAACATCTCCCCTTTGAAACTGGAAAATTCAAACATAACAAATGTGGTTATGAATACTTAAATTTGCTGACAGAAATAAACCAATCATAGAATAGGCATAAAACTCTAACAGTTTTTGTCACAGTTTGTCTTGTAACAATTTACATGAAATTATTTAATTTTGTTTCTAAATGTACACTAGTTTTAAAATACTCTTGAAAGTACAATACCAACATTGACATTCAAAATAAAAATTAAGAAGACCGTTTTGTGATATTTTTTTTCATACCTGTGTCAAAGTAATGAAAGACCTTTAAGACTTGACAATTTAGGATTGCTTGAATTATACACAATGTGTATGCTGTAGTTCAATTTTATCCTTGGTTCAAATTTTATTTTCCTTTGTTTCAAACTCATTATCATGACTGAGAACAAAGGAAAATAAAATTTGAACCAAGGATAAAATTGAACTACAACATGTACATGGGGGGATGGGGGGATAATTGCCCCTCATAATCCATGTGAAACTAATTGTTACAGTTGCAAATACCACAGAAACTATTAAAAATTATAATTTATCATTTTATAACCCATGCAGCCCTGCAGGTAGAAAACATAGTGAAAGCTGACATGTGTGGGGCTGAACAGGTTGGCATGAGCTGGTTCAGAAAAAGCCATCCGGCCCTGTCCAGATATACACAGCTTTGTTGGGAAAACTTAAAGGAAAGAGGAAATAAGTGAAAATAATCATAATTTGCCATGAACTGTAAGTTTCTTTCTCTGAATCAAAAAACAAATAAAAAAATTTATATTCTAGTAAGAGTTTTTTTTTTTTTTTGTGATTGTCCTTTGTATGCTATCTATCATGTCCTATTTGGGTTAATTGAAACCAAATTTTTAATATTTTCAACAAATGGTCATAAATAATAATAATAATAAATAATTTCAAAAAAGCTTATTGACTGAGCTTGGTCAGACTATACAGGAAAATATTTGGCTCTCATGCAGTCATGGCATACATTAATGCCCATCATGATGTGCTTGGTCCATACATCATGAGCTCTAGGCCAAATATTTTACCCTACGGCCCTCGATCCCACTCAGTTGATAAGTACATAGAGTTATTATTGCTCATTATGTATTAGCTTACCACAGTGGGTCTTGCAACAGGCCAAAACTGTTGTCTCTGTAAAACGCCAAATCAGTAATTAGTACTCATGGCAAACATTTTTAAGAGTCAAATTGGACTGTAGAATAAAGTTAAAATGGGAAAGTCCTCATCCCCTGGCATACATATGTTTCTTTGCCAACAATACCACATTTTGGGTCTTATAATCAGCAACAAAGTATTCCAGACAGGATTCATACTTTGTATTTGTGATTTCGTAACTAAATACTGTCATTTCTTCCCCTTATTGCAAGGATCATGACTTGTAGCCATTAACAGATCTGGTAAAACAGACTAAACAAAATTTTAAACTACAACAATTGAATATATCAAATTATATCTAACTCATTTGGCTAAAGCTAGTATATAGTATTCATGTGTTAAACCATTTTTTGAACATGTTTTCCCTATAATTTTTAGGTTTAAACTCACAATAAATAAAAATCATAGTGACTGTGATAACAATGACGTTACCACCTACCGAAGAAGGAGAAGATTTAGGCCTGGGCTGATAAGCAGAACAGCAATGTTTTAAGCCATTGTGTGAAAGAACATTCCGAATAATATCTGGCATACAGGTTAATGGACGAGTAAAAGCTTTTAATCTTTGAATATCAGAACCATGCCTAGGAACAGAGGTTACAACTTCAATACCACTAAAATCATAAGGAAGAGGAGCTGATTTACAGTGCCCTCTGTGTCGTTTTTCTACTTCTTCTCTAGACATGAGTGAACGTTGACTCTTTGCAGAACTTATCCTGTTCTGCCATGCACGTTTTGGGGCACTTCGAGAAGAGGGGGATGCAGAACCATCACGTGATTGCCAAGCTTTGGATTTCTGCGGAAGATAATAGTGAACAGGTCTTGGAGGAGCTGACTTGCATCTTGCTTTATGAAGCTGAAGGAATAAAGATGTAGGAGATGCACTGGGTTCTTGTTTATTCTTTTGCATGGAGCTATAAGAACTTCTTCCACTTCTTGACGACAAGGGGCGTGAGGTTACAGGGGTTGGTGAGGGATTGTGCAGAAATGAAGACTGACTTCCTGAAGGACTTGCATTAACATTGTTATCGTTTTTAATACCAAGATGCCTTCTGCCAATTCTAGGTGCCGCACTTTTGACTCTCTGAACAGGCCTCCCCTGCCTGGACCTACCAGTATTTCCGGAGCTGAAGAAAATATTAGGATCCAAATTGTCTTTAGAAGAAGCCTTTGTTCCTCTGATTGTCCATAATAAATGTTGATTGTGAGCCATTATAAAATCACAATACTATAAGTATAGTAGCAGGTCTACTAATTCAGATTTGCCACCAAATATCTGCTGACAAACTAATATGTCACATGCAATTGCATGACAAAAGAAAACTTTCATAATGATTGTAATAATGTGATGTTGTGAGAAACTCTTGGTCTTTTCTCATTTTTAGGTGCTCAATGTCAGACCTCAGCATAATTCACAACAGCAAACTTTTAGAAGAACCTATACACAAGAAAAGAAAAATTTATCAGACAAAATTGACAAAATTATTCCAGAATATCAGCAAAATAATTACACCATTCATGCAATTAAGTTCAAAAAAGTACCGACAGACCACTAAACAGACATGACACAAAGTTTGAGGAAACTTAGCCTGAGTGTCAGGTGTTTCTGGGAGTGTTTCTGGGGGAAAAAGGTAAGAGAGAAGCAAGAAAGGGAGAGAGCGAAAGGAAGGCCTGACACTCACGCTAGAGGAAACTACACCTTATCTTTTTTAAAACTGGGCTACATATTAAAAAATAAGAAATCTTGAATTTGGCAATAAAAAATTCTAAAAACAGCTTCTACAGGATTAATAGAGAATTTAGTCCAGGCAGATAGAAATTAATGCCCATTCTGAAATTTCTGTTTTGGTTTTAATCATTGCAAATGTTAATCTCCTACACCCTAACATCAGCTGTATGCATATTCTCCATACTGTTCTCTACACATTTCTTAAGGTGCTGTTATGGAGAATTTGTTTAACAATCATGAGCTTCTTTTATTGGTGATCATTTTCTTTATTCCTGTGACCTCATAAGTGTGATTCAGGGGTGATATTGTAAGGGGAATTAGATGCTTGCCACTCTGCCCTAGGGGGCAAATGATTAAATTGTTTTTCTTGTATCTTATAAAAGAATGAAATGAAAATATTTTGACAAAATGAAAAATGATCTCCTTTTACACTATTCAGAGAGAAAAAGCTGTTGATTTTTTGTCTCTGTACAAAGACATATGGAAAGATCACTTCAGATTCGTTCTGCTGATTCCCTATAAACTAGTTTTGTCAAAACAAAATCATATTTCAAAATAACTTGATCCAAATTTTTTCATTTACCTGAATTTTTAAATTATAATCTACTTTTTTACTCAATAATGAATAAAAGCAGCAAAATTTGTTTAAGTGCTAATCTGCTCTTCAACTAGTTTTATTAAAAATGCTCGTTCAAAGAAAATAAACAATAATTGTATACAAAAGGCATTCTTAACATTGTTACTGCAGTGAAAAATAAATGAAAAAATTTTAATAATTCGATTGGGGTAACAACAGCTGTACTTTAAAGAAAGAATTCAATAATTATATTATGTCCTAAAATCTCTGATTAAAAAGGAAAAATTGAAAATTAATAGAAAAAGTTGTCTAAATTATCAACTGGTCATGTCATTGACTGAACCACGTGTAGCGTCTGCATCACGAAATAGATAAATAAATTCCATGTTCCTTCCTTGAGATTAGTCTGTGAACACGTTTAGGATATAAACTATTGACACAACTTTTAACTAAAGCAAAGTGAATAACCATCCATTCAGTTATCCAATTCTCTCAGAGAAACAATGCTATGTACGTCGTTGATGCCTGCCTGCGCAGGAAGACCACGATCGCGATTCGAACTTAATCAACTATTTAGGAAAGAAAAAGTTCATAACTAAGAAGAGGCTTATTGGCAGTGAAATACGAATTGCAACGTGTACATTAGGAAAAAAGCATGGAACAAACGCTCAAAGGATAATTAGTTAGACAATTCAAACGAGAAAGGATAATAAAGTTACGAAAGATGGTTACAAACCTTTCATCTGCTTGCTTTGATGATATCAGGTCCAGGTGATGAGGAAACGAAAGTTTCTCTACATGTTTCTCTCATTCTGAATTAATATCAAAGGATTTAGAGGAACACCCTTTGGCTTAGACTGGATAATACGTTTCCCAGCTGGAAGGTAAATGTTATTTTGTCGCCACAGTGAAATCATTGAGTGTTTGCCGTTTCCAGCCGGCAAAATACCTTGAGCCAATCAGAGACGCTGTAAGAACAAAGGCTTCTGAAAATACACGCTCCCATGCTCCAGTCTCCGCTCTGTATGTTGTCGTGACAACGTAGAACTGTCAAGAGTGATAGTCAAGGGTAACCTTTGTAAGGTAGAAGACACTCCAAGGAAGAAAAAATTTGTTCTTCTGCGCATCATGTCTCAAAGCAGCTCTCCTTCGCCAACCAAGATAAACGTAAACTCGCTTATAAAAGTGAATCAGCCGTTGCCGGAACAGTGGACTTTAGTGAAAGACTGGCATATTGAGAAAAGAAGTCCTTGCGAAGATTGGAGACCTCTGGCAAACTCGCAAATAGCTCATATGTATCAACAAATGAAGACATCCATTGAAGAACATCCAAACGCATTGTCACGCAGTTAAAAACGATACCCAACGAAGTGCTGAAGCACAATCTTGAATCGATTTGTCGGAATTTCTATGCTCTGGATGGTTTTAACCGTAGGAGACTTTATCGCTTAATTATTAATTACTGTACATCTGTGGCAAAAAACCCTCATATTTAAACGTTATCTAAACGTATCCTTTTTGTAAAATCCAGGACTTAAAAGTGATCACACTTCTCCGGCCAGCGGAAATGACTGACAATTGACGAAGAAAAACTGAATAACATTGCAGAAGAGCTTCAAAACCGCTTTTTGCATTAGACAAACGTAAAAACGACATTGTTTCAGGTGAAGCATGTTTGAAGAGGTGACTTTGTCAGTTTTGTTGATTTTGTGGTCGATAGATTTATATTGTTAGTACACAGTTAGAAAGATAATTTTTGTCTTAAAATGACGCGATTATGTAAAGTTTCACACTTAGAAGAGACTGCTTCTGATCAATGTTTTCAGTATTTCGCAAATTAACAGTCCTTTAGGCCAAGTGCTGTGTAAATAAAGATCGAATAAGTATGTGATTTATCTAAGATCGATTTAAAGAAAAAAGGGCTAGTATTACGATATGATCGAAGAAGTGTGTAAAGATTAACTGCAAAGGAATAGCAAGCGTAAATTTTTAGACAACATAGAGTCAAAGAAATGCGGAATCATAAGTGCATTAACGAGATTCTTATTAAAAGTGTGTCTTTGAGAGAAGAAACAATTAAGTCGTTCATTTTGATAGATCTATTGTGATGCTGTACAATGATGCATAAATATTTTGATCCTTTTTCAATTACTTGCTCCTGGTCCAATATGCAGTATATTTTGCTGAGTTAAACAAATCAAAACCCCCGACCACATTTGTGGTTTATCTACAAGTTAGCCAGCTTAATTTTGTTTTGCCCTTTTTTCTTACTTTTTCCCTTGTAGGGGAAGGAGGAGATTAGACTTCTCATATTTTCATGGCGTTATGAGGACACCCCAGCCTACCCCCCTCCCCCAAAGAACACGCGCCAAGCAACGCGGCGATAGGTCAAACGTTATATCTGACGGGCAACGTTCGTATGACGAGCTATAGAACCCACCCTTTCACACATCAGGTAAACTTGAGCGTTGGATAAACGTGACTTTAAAGAAAAAAAAAACAGTTTAACCAACTTGTAAGGCCTGAGAAAACAGTATCGGAGGCAAAGACAAGAAGGGGAACTTTCCTACCCGTCTTTTCCTTTCCTGTTAAAAGGGAAGGGCGTCTTCAAGCCAATGTTCGGATAACTGATTTTGCTCATCGCAAAGTTTTTCGCACCACCTCAACACGTTTCCATTTATCGAAGAAAGGTTACACGGTCTCCAGGACAGGTTCGTCACATTTTGGATTCCCTCGTAAGTTAGGCAGAGAATCTGGTGTAATACCAAGTTACTGTTCCCTTTACCTCATGAATCTGTTTATACACCTCAGTAATTGGTGAGCAACGTGTTGGACTGATAAATTAAGAGCTTGGACTTTTTTAAGTCCACAGAGCTGCCACTTAGTGACATATGAGCCCGTTACATTTTTCACTATACAGGAACAATTTGGATCGTACCGCAGTCAATTATTTACACCTAGCGAATGTCGTTATATGATCGCATGATATGTTTTTAATAACCGAATCTCAGACAGAATCGACAGAAACTGATATCGAACCACATGCGGGCGGACCACTCTATCAGTGTGGTGACATGTACCGCAAACTATTGAAATATTGAGAAATATATGACGGTTTCAAATAAAGGATACAGTGACAAAATTTTCATCGCAAATACGTCCGACGGGAGAAATAGTAATCAAACTGTCAAATCAATCTTATGTCAGGCAAAAGGCTTCTCACAAGCGATTTAGAACCAGAATAGACCAGTATGCTCCTCGCTCCTAAATAAATACTCGACCGATTACCTTTGCATTTTTTCCCACATTATTGAATAGATTATAGATACAGTGTTGAAATTATTCAATTGAAATACGAATTAAGGACCTACCTTTCTCGCACTTTCCCTTGTATGTTTGGACCTTAGACCAAATCGTCCAGTTCGGTCTTCGAACTTAATCATGTCGAGTGCATTTGTGCATTTATCACAGTTTGGCCAACAGCTTTTGCTAGGAGTATGATTCTTTCGCTGAAAATGAACGTGATTTAGATGATACGAGAACCAGAAGGTGTATTGTTCCCAAGCGCGTTGTGAATTCATGTAGTTTTCCTGGCGAATTCCTCAAGTCCCCACAGCAATATCTTGTATGAAATTACCACGATTACTGAATTTTTGCCAGAGTAAAAGATTAGCTTTTCTTAGCTTTAGTTAAACTTACAACCGTCTTGAATATGTCCGCCAGTCGGCGTAAGAATTCAAAATACAACAAACTTTATAATATAATCAAGAAAGAAGGTTTTCGCAAAAAGACGTCTGGTAAAAATTCCGAGAAAATTTTGAGCTTCTGAAGTCAATCTCCAGTAGAAACCAAATGGTGAACTAGAGAAGTCAGTCAACATTCTGGTAGTTAAGAACCATACTGATGTTGTGGGAACTTTTCTCAGCTTAGTTGCTAGCCAAACCAAAAGCAATTGGTGGATGAAATGAAAACACAATGGGCTCAATTTAGAACAAACAGGTGTACTAGTCTTGTGCTGTAAACAACGCATAATCAAAAGTTAATTACACCTGAACTTTTTCTGCATCTCTATTTTCATATAAATTTTAGCTATTTTTAGCTATTAAATTTTGGTTCGGAGGAATGTTATTTCTTCTACTTTAACGGTTGAAAATAAACTCTTCCCTCGATCTCTTTTCAAAAATTTGGATCGTTTCATATCCTTTGCGCTTACTCAAAATTAAATATGCGTCTCATAGGGAGATGATTTTTGGAGACTGTCATACTGACAATCATTTTGCGGAAGACTACGGTATTCAAAAGTAAAATAAAAGTCAACTCCCTCTTCCGCATTCGACCAATAACAAAGTTCAAGTCCACAATTTCTAACGAGATCGCGAGCATTGAACTTTGTACAGCAATACTAGAACTTGCAATCAAACTGCGAGGGAACCTGGCCGAAAAGATACTAAACGGTGTTTATAATCAGCTCTCTGTTTTCTCTTAGCCCATTTAATAAAAGAAAAACGGCTTCTTTAAGACAAGATGTCATTTTTAAAAGAGCATCTCCACTTACAGTAGCGTCACACTTCCCCGTTTTCATCGCAAACAGGAAGCAGATGTCTGCGGGCGTGACAACGACCACGCTTCCATTGAAACACGATCAATAGCTTTCTCAGGTAACAGATCAAAAGCAGCCGTTTTGAAGGCCGCATTAGTGAGAAGAGGTAGTACGCAAAACATGCCAGTACGCCTTTGCTTTGTGAGATTAGTCGTTGTTGAATGATAAACCTCGGGAACGCGTGGTGTCGTCTCTGGAGGGGAGTAGATGACTAGAAAATCAGAAAGAGAAGACAGTGGCGGATCCAGGATTTTTGATGGGGGGTTCATGCCCAGTTTTTGTCTCAGAACACATTTATGGTTTTTACACTATAGCCAAAATAAGATAAGAAACCTTTCGAGAGAAGTTTTAGACATGTCATAATATATAGATTTAGCCAAGCCAAAAAGCGGAGCTCCCAAGTTCGTAATGTTAATGATAACATAAAAGATGTGCATTTGCCAAGACTCGCATGAGTCACCCCTTCCTTAGGCACGTACGTACGTACGCTCGGTCAGTCACGTGACAACCAAACGAAAAGTTGACTATATTCCACGGGTATGGGGTTCTGCCCCACTATGACGAAGTGACCTGCGATCCTGATGGGGGGTGGGGGGTGGGGGATGTTCTGATGGCCAACTAGGGTGCGTTGGTTGCGATTGGTCGAATCTCAAGAATAAAGAACCCCAGTAGTAGACCGATCTTAGCACAAAAAATTGCCTATAATCTTCGTTTCAAGATTCGACCCTAGCGTAGAAAGGTTAAAGGTTGTATACTTCCGGTTTTAGCATCAGCCTGAATTTCACGTTGAACAGTATTTATAGTCGAAAAAATCTCACGTTAGAGCCCTAAAAATTGGAATTGATACTACAAAGGAACTATTTATCATCAGATTTAGGGTTGCTACCGAACCGACGGTACTCCGAACCGTGCAAAACTACATAAGGAATAGACTACGTTAAGTACAACCAAAACATTCACGAGTATCATCGTATAAAATGATCTTCGGAACAGGGTGAAACTTCACTGAGTTTACGGTTGTGTCGCGGATCAGGGTGCAAGTAGAGCACCTTTTGGCTAGTATGTCTACAAGTAAGCAAACCCATCTTGAATAACTATCAATGCATTGAAGATAACTTGGTTTTATTAACTGAATAATAGTGATAAAATAAATTGGCCACCGTTATGAATTTCTGAAGCTTCTTTGATTAATTCTTCCATATCTCATTACAGATGACGAAGGGGACCTACATAACTCCCTTTTATATAATGAAATATAATCAATTCAACAAAATGAATAACCACAACACATCATTTTGCAATATCAGTCATACATGCATGTCCTCATTACTTTGTGTTAGCAATTACATCTTGGCATTATCCTTGAACAACTGGGCCAATTTTGCAGTGAGCATGATGTTTCCTTTCACTTTCAACTTCCCCTTCATAAACAACTGTTGAGGGTTTGACTTTCCTGTTGCTATGGAGGCCAGGTCATCATCTTCCACAGTTATACTACAGTCTGGCTTGCCTTGCCGGTATGGACCCACCGTCACAGACCCAGATCCACTCTTGAGGTCCACAGTCCACTGACCAGCAGTCTTTCCCCCCTTTGTCACGTTCCATTCAAAGACACCTTTGACCTTCTTGACAAGTTCTGGGTGGTCTGAGACTCGTTTGCTGATCTCGTTAAACAGGGACTCACTCTTAAGGCCTGATTTGTTTGGGTGTGATACCAATGTATTCCTGTCCTGTAAAGACTGAAAGAATATGTGGATCTCATGGTAAAGTCTTTAACTCCCAGAATTTATTAAAATTTTACTTCTCTCTTTGATATCCATACACTACCCAGAATACTCACACTTATCAGGTAGAAGTTGCTGTTATTATCTAACACCAAATTCTTGCAACTAATTTACAAGGAAATGTGTAACACCTGGAGGTGAGAATTAACAATCGGATCTAGCCCATGAATAGTCCTGTCATAATTATGGCACACTAATTCTATAGTTAGGTGACATGAATATCAAAATCAAACATCTGATCATTTACTTAAAGCTAGTGCTATTATAAATTGCTCACATTCATCGTGGCAAGTCTAACTCTACATTGCTGGAAGTCTGGGCAATAGGTCAAACTGTGAAAGCACACACGTCAATGTAGCTCTGCTCATCGTCACATTTTTTTTGTCAATTTTATCAATACAATACAATACAATACAATACAGTACAATAGACTTTATTTCAAGAGGGTAGCACGTGACAGTAGTTAAACTGATGATCCTGTGGCCCTCTATGATCCACCCATCCAACCCCAAGGGAGGACATCCATCACACAGTGATCTTGTGCATGGGAAATTAACGTCTCCTACCCCTAACCCTGCAGGAGACGGGACCTCCATTTATTCGTCCCTATCCAAGAAGACAAGAATATCTAACCATTTCTTGATGTTATAGGAAGGCAGCATATTCTTCTCAATTATTTTAAGACCTTGAGTGTTGGTCCGGCCGGGGCTTGAACCCTCGACCTCCCGCACAACAGTACAGCACTCTATCCATTGAGCTAACCAGGAACACATCACTCACCGGCACTTTCTTTACAGCAACATCAACATCCTTCAGGTCAATGTATGCTCCTGACAGTACAACATTGCCATTTTCAACCACTTTGCATTGAAATGAAATCCTGTTGCCATCTTGCCACATATCAGTCTTCAGTGTCTGACCAGGGTAAACAGGTTTAGAAAACCTTGCTTTGATGGCCTTGAATTTACTAACATCTTTGTTTGCATACTGCTTGAGTACATGACGAGCAGCATGACCATATGTACTAAGACCATGAAGGATTGGGCGTGAAAAACCTGTTAACAGTCACAAAAATATTTTAAATTAAATTTTAATATGCGAGAAATGGTAAATTTGGTTGCTCATGAGATCACAATCTACCCACGTCCTTCAAGTCTAAGATCCTTGTAAATTTTACAAAAGGGGGTCACACAATTGAATTAAAGTCTGAAACTTGGACTCCCTGGAATTTTGAGTGATGTAAATTGTTGAAACCTATACCATGTGTTCCCTTTCTAGTGTTACCGGTACTGTTTAGGTGGGAATTGTCAGGGGTAAAGCCAGTTATCAGTGGTCCTCCACTGTTTATAAGACCTCTTAGCATTATCTGTTTAGCCTGCAGGTAGGCTCTCATGTTTGGATTTCATCTTACACCCCTTTTCCAGGTATGGCCACCAACTACTAGTACACTATCCACAGCCACCTATAGAAAAAGTTATTAAAACCCTTTAATTGCTCTCAGATGTGAAACATGTTGCTTAATAAGGAATTTTTAATTAATTTGAAAGCAAAATTTTCTTAACAATTGTTGTTGTTGTTCTTTTTTTTTTTGGCAAACTTCCTATTCAGCAGCCATTTATGCAAAAGTTATTGGAACCCTTGAATTGCTCTTGGAGGCAATACATGTTGCTAGTGAAGAATTTTTCATTGATTTGAAAGCAACATTTTCTTGTTAACTGTTTCTTTCTTTTCTTTTTGAGAACTACATATTCAATGTGGTAGCTAAAAGGGTAATTCATCTTTCCTCCATGAAACACAAAAAAAAGAAAAGTTTTACTCCACCTCCTAACTGGGCAAAATCTGGATCAACGTGAATTGGATTAAGATCACCACTCAACCGATAAATTGCTGCTGCAGAAAGGTCAGTCTTCTCCTTGATGCTAGCATCGGGTGGACGGGTTGGCATAGTAACAAGAGGTTTAGAATGCTCTGATCGCTTCTTTCCTCCAAATCCCCCAGCACTACCAATATAGATCGAGAATTGATTGAAACAAACCGCTTCCCCACTACTGTCATAACTAGTGATGTTCACTAGCACTATGGCTCCTTTTCCTTTGTCAAGGATGTCAGCAACCTCTCCTTTGCTTGTCAAGGTTCCTGAAGTAGGCAAGGGTTTATAAAGCTCCAGATACTGTTCTCCGTGGAGGAGCTAAAAGAGAACAAGGGTGACAAAGTGATTAAAATATTTCACTGTGGATTGACTTATTAGTGACAACATGTAAGAGCACCTATCCAAAGGAGATTGTTATTAACAATAGATGAATCTAGAACTGAAGGAGGTTATAGGGTAGTGTCAAGAAGGGGAACTTGTAACCAGGACAGGGCATGTCATTGCGAAGTCAAAGATCATTGATTTTATCTAGTTTACCTTTGCTGGATTAAATGGAAGTCCAGCTTGCTCCACTGCTCTCACAACAACAGTATTCATTGCTGACTGCAAAGGAAAAAGAAAAATAACAAAATGAATTATCTTCTTGTGAAGATAAATGAAAGTCTTCTTAACCAAGCAGCAGGTATAGTAATGCAAAACCAGGACAATCTTGGATTACATTACTCTAAAAAAACTGAAAATCATTCTGCAGTAATCTGACACACCTGAGCTGGAATTACTCCAAAAGTAGGTAAGGTGCTGAAGCTATCACTTCCCTCATATAGAAACTTAAGGTGAGATGAGTCTTCCTGCACAGTGACCCCAACCCCAAGTGCATACAGGATCACATCCTTGGCTTCAAAAGTGAACTGTGACTCTGGAATTTCTGATGTTTTGCTTGAAGTTGTCCCACTTTTGGGTACTGTTGTGTTAGCTTCTTGAATTATAGGGATCAGATCAGTCATGGCGTCACCCCTTAACTTTGGCTTTATAGGACCAGACCAGTCAGTGATCTTACCCCAGTTGTCTCTCACCATCTCTGGTGTCACAGTAACACCACTTTTTCTTAGCATTGCCCCTGAACTCTCCTGCCACCTTAACTGTGCCCCCCAACCAGAAGCCATCTCAAAGACACCACCACTCTCTGGACAGCTCTCATGGCATAGATATACAACAAAAGGAGCAACATACTCTGGTTTAAGGGCATCAAAGACATCAGGGGGCATTACTCCCTTGGTCAGCCTTGATGCAGCAATTGGAACAATAGTATTGCAGATCACATTGTACTTCTCTCCTTCAATGGCCAATGTGTTAGTTAGACCAATAAGACCCATTTTAGCTGCACTGTAGTTCGCTTGACCAAAATTCCCCAACACACCGGCGGTCGAGGAAGTCATAATGATCTTCCCATACTTCTGTTTTCGCATGTGAGGCCAGGCTGCCCGGGTCACTTTGAACGACCCTCGGAGGTGAACACGGTGGATTAGATCCCAGTCGACATCACTTATGCGCGCGAACGATCGATCTCTCAGAATCCCAGCGTTGTTGATGAGGACATCAATCCGACCAAATGCATCTAATGCCGTTTGTATTACTTTCTCGCCGTCTTCCACGGAATTGTAATCAGCTACCGCTTTTCCTCCTCGAGAGCGAATCTCTTCAACAACCTTGTCGGCCGCTATACTACTTTTACCTCCTCCCTTTGCGTCTCCACCAAGATCATTGACAACGACAGAGGCGCCTCTGGAGGCGAAGGCGAGTGCATACTCCTTCCCGAGCCCTCCTCCTGCCCCTGTTACAAGAACTACACGACCATCGAACCTCAATTCGTCTGCCATTTTGAATCATCAGAACAGAGATTAACCCGCTGCCTCTATTTAATACAAATTTGGTAGGGGAAGGGTAGAGAGAGCAAGCAACATGTTTTGAAATTTATTTTTGTTGCCGGGAAATTGATAATTTAAGAAAAAAAAACATCTACCTGGTAAATACTGCTTAGTTATCTTCTACAAAGCTTTCTTGAACGAAAAAAGCAAAGAAAGTTTTATCCTATGTGGAGATATTACTCCCTACTCTCCCCACCCCTGTCTGTCTTTTCTCATTTCGTGAGACCTGACATGACATGACCCCCAGTAACACCCTCAAAATGACACCCTACAATAAGACCAGGGATGGGGTGACAAGGATAAAATAAATTCCAATTATACATTAAGACTTCTAGAACTCTGCTTTTTACTTAGCACCAATAAGCGAGTTAAAAAATCTAGTAGTTACCCCATGAAATACCGTCTTCTATGATGTATTGGCCTAAATGTGCCAATAAGTGACGGTCTTATTGGCAAGAACTTACCTCTCCCTGCTACGTACATAATTCTGCCTGTTCTATTCACCTTGGACGACCTTCACAATGTACGGCCATCTTGAGTCATCAAAAGAAAACATTGCACAAATTCACAATAATCTAGAAAAGGGGGTCTGTTCCAATCGTGCAGAACAGCATTAATTAATATCAGAGAGCAGCAAGATCACGTTAAAATGTCAGAGTTCTCGATGGCCAGCCAAGATGAGGTTGTAAGACATTTTCCTCCAGGACCGTTGGACATTTATCGTAAACACGCTTCTTTCGACTGGTTTCAAATGAAAATCTTTGTGGATGGGGGAGAAGATGTGGTCAGATTTCAATACAATATGTGGAAAACCATGGAGAAAGACCCACTATTTGACCGTACAAACGATTGGAAATTGAGTATGGACGAACGCCGGCGTGTAACAATGGAGCGATGCAAGAGAATTTCAGAGTACAATTTTTTGACGGACAATGATGTTATGGCAAGACCACTCTTGGTTCAGGTATTTGGTGACGCCTTAGGAATGTATGACTGGAGTTTGTCAACAAAAGTTACGTTAAATGTTTCGGTAAGTCATGCTTTCTGAATGGACGTACGTTACTTGTCCTGTCTTACGTGAGAGCTCTCCCCCCTCTCCCACGCCCCCACAAAATGCTTTGGTTAAGAATGTCAACCACATCTCCTTGTAAATAATGTAGCTTAAGTGATCCTACAGAGAAATTTCACTGTAACGAAACAACCTCTATTTTCTTGATTCAGATGTTTGCTCGTCAAGTTAAAACATCAAGCACACATGAACACATCCAAGAACTTGGAGATAAAGCTACAAGGTTTGAAGTATGTAACAAAATCTTGATAAGACTTTTAAATGACCATAAGCCAGAGAAGGTGGGCATGATTGATATAAGGATATTGTTGCTCTCACATTTCTCACATAATATTATGTTGATAATATCTGATTCTTAAGTTGGTCTTAAAAATTGGCTGACATTACTTCTAATTTTGTCAGGACCATCAAAATAACAACCAATGCAGGCATATTATACATGGGTGCATAGTTAACAAATATGAGATTACTGTGTGATGGATGTCCTCCCTTGGGGAGTTGGTCATAAAAATTGGCTGACATTACTTCTATTTTTGTCAGGACCATCAAAATAACAACAATCAAGGCAGGCGTATTATACATGGGTGAATAATTAACAAATACGAGATTACTGTGTGATGGATGTCCTCCCCTGGGGTGGGATGGGTGGGTTTACTGGGCCCACAGTAATTGGTGCAAGCTGTTGCGGTGTCCCTGCCGGTTGGCGAAGCTAAATAAACTAAACTAAACTAAACTAAATATATTCCATGTTGCCATCGGTCTGTTCAGTAATAGATGAGGTAAAATGTGGTAACAACAAAAAAAAGTGGCACACGAGTGTAACCAAGTGTGTCACTGATAGTTTGGTAAAAGTGAAGAACAGTTCCCAAAAGATACTGTCAGCTGTCTGTTGGCCGTCTGTTGGCCGACTGTTGGCCAACTGTCGGCCGTCTATCGGCTAACTGTCAGCCAGCTGTTGGCTGACCATCCACCAACTGTTGGTTGACCGCCAGCCGACTGTTGGCTGACAGTTGGCCAACAGTTGGTCAGTGGTCAGCCAACCATTGGTCAACTGTCAGCCAACGGTCAGCCCACAGTGGGCCAACAGTCGACCAACAGTATGTACGGTCTGGTTAACACTGTCGGCTGGCTGTCAGTAATGTGTCGGTATCATGTCGGCCAACAGTTGGCCAACAAGTTACCCACAGTTGAACATGGAAGCTATTGTTCAATTTTACCAAAAGTTTTACCACATTTTGACATCTTCTATGATCTATTTCTGTACAGACTCACAGCAACAAGGAATCTCTTTGCTTTATATGATAAAAAATATTTTGTTTTTGTTAATGGTAAGGTCATCTATGCATCCTTCTTCCAATTGATCATAAGTAAGAACCACTTAAAATATGTATTGTTCAATTTATCATGTAGTATACATCGGTTAATAGTGAACAGTGATAATAAATGACTGTGTTTACTTTGCTCCTGTATTCACAGGTCTTTGGTTGTTTTGCTTTGACTGAGTTAACACATGGAAGCAACACTAAGGGTGTTCAAACTACAGCTACTTACGATCCATCATCACAGGTTAGACTTCTCAGTAAACAAATATTATTCCCAAACATAGTAGCAGGAGGTAAAGGCTCTCAATACTACACTGTTTGCTTCCTTAAAAAACCCAACTTGTAAAGAATCTAGACCACAAATTTATCTAAAGTTGTTACACTGTGACAATTCAATATCTATTTGGGAACCTGGCATCACAAGTGGAATGAGTTTGTAAAGTCCTTTAATTCTCTAGGGAAATTTCTTTGTTTTCTCCAGTTTTCCTGCCTCTGCATAAACAAATACTCCCAATGTCCAATTTGACCGTTAAACAGTGAAATATTGAGAGCCATTTTGTTTTTGTTCTCTGCTAAATCTGATGGCGTATTTATGCTTATCAGGGCTCCAAGCTCAAATTTTTTCAAAGTCACTATTTGGTGACCTCAAATTATTAATCCTCATTAGAAGTAAAATTTCAATCTGCACCTGTAAAAGACAACCTCTCAACACCTAGGAGTGACAAGCTTCTAATGTTCTCTTATAATATCACCCCTGAACACACATTTAAAACATGAGAATAGAAGAAATCATGATGATCATAATAATAATAATAATAATAATAATAACACCTTTATTTAGACACAATAATGTTTAAAGCTGAACGGCTTGTGGGGCCGTGTGTAAATGCAAATAAACTCTAAATTAAATAAATAAATTCAAATGATGATGGTTTTTGAGGAGAGGGGAATACCGGAGTACCCAGAGAAAAACCTCTCAGAGTAGAGTAGAGAACCAACAAACTCAATCCACGTATGATCCCAGTTCCGGTAATCGAACCCGAGACACAGTGGTGGAAGGCGAGCGCTCTCACCACTACGCCAACCCTGCTCCCCACTAAAGAAGCTCTTGATTGTGAAACAAATTCACTTTACCTAGCACCTTGAGAAATGTATAGAGAACAGTAGGGAGAATATGCATACTGATGTTAGGGTGTGCAGGGTTAAAGAGCAATAAGTATTTGAGTGCAGGTAGAATGTGTTTCTTTACCATTGGTGAGCAAAAAAAAAAAAAATGTCACTCTTCCCTTAAATAGAATTCCAATCCTTCAGTAAGTAATTCCAGTATTTTTCTTTTCCCCTGATATTTTTCTGGTAGTCACCTCCATAGTAGAAAATCCTGCATATTCTTTGGAGGTTTTTTGGTGATCAGATTATTCAAATGATTTTATTCCTGATTAGTTCTAGTTGGAGCATACCAATGGCTTGTTTGTTACTTGCTAAAAGAGAGTGCTCACAAGTTCCAGAAAGAGCTGGCAGGTGGAAAGGTACCTCTTAATGATTATGAGTGTATTTGCTTTTATTTCACAACATATATTTGTTTTTGTTCCCTTTATATGTTTGTTTATTGTTTTTTTGCAACAACATATAATTTATAATGGATTCATTAGCAGTAATTTTCTAGTCAGCCTTATAAGCCTTTCAAGGATATGAAGTTAACAATCTCTTTATCTTTGTTGATTCATCACAGGACTCTTTTGCAGCCAAGAATGACAGCCAAGTATTTTTTTGTAGATCATTGGCACTTGCTTTCATTGAGGTAACCTTTGTCTTCTGTTTCCCTTTAATATGTGTTAAGTAACTCATTATCCATTGCCAGCTTATACATTTTTCAGGGTCCTGAAATTAAGGGGTGGGCAACAAAACCTTGAGGGGCTGGGCTCTTATATCATAATGAAATTTTGGATATGAATAGTGTCCCTTAGGTACGAAAATCTTGGATTATGACAACTAACACCATCTTCCTTGTAGTAACATTGACAAGCCAACTGATTACTTTTTATTTCAGTGTACAATTTTGAAGAGATTCAAAGAAGCAATTTTCAATGAGGATGAAACTCCACAAGCACTTAAACCAGTTCTTCTCAAACTTTGTTCATTGTATGGTGTGTCCTCTTTAGAGACGCATCTCACCACTCTATACCAAGGTGAGGCTACTAAGAAAAAGGAATGCTGACTATTTGTGCAAAGTTTTCTGTTATATGGTGATGCCGCCCTAAGGAAAATGTTTCTATTGGATATCAAAAAGGGCTTTCATGTGGAAATAGGATATTATTTGTCTGTTTACTGTAGGTGGCTTCTGTTGCTCAGTGAATGATGCCAGAATTGTAAGAGCAGCCATTCTTACTCTTTGTTGTGAGGTAAGCTATTTGCTTTTGTCAGCCTTACCTGAAATGTTATGCTGCATTAATTCCCCACATTATTCCTTACACAGATTTTCATAATACTATCTAAGGTTTTTACAACTCGAGTCGAAAGTGTTTTCAAGCCACAATCCGAGAACTCTGTCCAAAGATACTCCTGACTGAGTGAACGAGGCTTGGTATGTGCAGCAAGAAAACAGATGCTTCCATTAATGGAAAAACGGTTGGGAATTGTTTTCTATCAGACTACGAAAACCTAATTCTTTCTCTGAGAGCCCTAGTTTTATAGCTTTCTCCAACAAACACAAACGCGTTGAATATCATGCATGTAACATGGTGTTAGGGGGATGAAACAAATGTTATAGTAACATTTTGAAATAATTCAGCTATTTTGTGTTTGTACTCAGTTGAAGAACGAAGCTGTAGCTCTTGTGGATGCCTTAGCCCCACCGGATTTTATTCTTAACTCGCCCATTGGTCACAGTAATGGAAAGGTAAACCACTTTGACTCTTGCTGATTTTTATTTATTTGCTGTTTATTTAATTTTTATGTCATTTTTAACTACCCTAACAAAAGGGGGATGGTTGTGAAACTTGTCTAGAACTTTGGTCGACAAAAAACGTCAGAATGTTAAGTCAAAGCTATTTTCAAACCAGAACTTCTTATTGAAGCTAACTGATTCACTCTCTTCCTCAGGCTCATGAAAACTTACATGCTGCGATTATGCAAAAGCCAGAGAACAAGGAAAGAATTTCCTGGTGGAAGGAGTGTCGTCAACTTCCGAGTATCAGAAATCGTAGTAAGTTGTGATAGAGAACGCCGCCGGAAACGTTTGCTCACGGATTTTCTTCAGTTTTCTTCGCTTCTCTTCGGTTTTCTTCTGTTGACAAGAGAAAGTTAATGTCTTGTACTTGGCTCATTGGCAGCTTGACTGGATACATATTGATTGTCCAATGAGGTTTGAGAACAGGGTGGAAAACAAGGAAGTTGCTCCTGGAAGGATAAAGTCACGAGAAATGACATGGTGATTGCTTCTGAGAAAGAGTTCAATAGTGATTGACAGCTTGTTAAAAGTTGCGCTTCTTACGAGAACAGTATGGGTTAAAACCTTTTAAAGCCGTCGTTGTTGTGTTTTGAACGCCCTTTCTAAATTTGTAAAATTAGAAGACTATTTATGATATTACCGGTACATCCGAAAACGTTTCCCATTCATAGGTTAAATATTTACTCAACTAAAGAAATAAATCGAAAAATAACATCACTCTTAGCTAAGTGTCGGACGTATTTCGGATAAGATGAAAATGAGGTAAAATACATGCTTTGACATGCAATCATCAAGCAGGGAAACAAATATGTTAATAGATGACAGTCTCTATTAGAAGCCTAAGAAACAGGTTTGTGAAAGAGCATTTAATGGGTAATGACCCTGTATGAGGGGCCACGTCCCATTCTTTTCGAGGGAAGGTTTCGCACACTGACCAGCTTTCCAAAAGTTTGGTTTAAGAGAGCACATCTAATACTTGGGATTTTTTTTAGAAGGGCATTATCCCCAGTCCCCTTCACCCCTTACATGGCCTCGAACGAAAGGGCAGTGCCACTTGCTAACAAACTGTCCGAAACGCAGGAAAACCCAAGAGATGATTGGTTTGAAACCTCAAAAAACCCTAACATAGTATGTATATTCTTCATTTTGTTCTCATTTCCTAAGTTTCTGACAAGGAGAATGTCTTAAACAGTCAAGAGTTTCTTTAATTGATCATTTTCTTTATTCCCTATGATTCAGGGGTGATATTGTGAGGAGAAATTAGATGCTAGTCACTTTCAGGGGTCAAAGGGTTAAAGAGGGTGGCGCGGCTACAAAGCAAAGCTACACCAATACAAAATGTAGCAGTCATCGAGAGTGCAATAAATTCTCTATTTTATTCTGTCACATCCTTGTTAGACACAGTTATTTTCCCGCTCAGCAGTATGCAAAACTTCTATTTAATTATTAAATATCTCTAATCAATAAAAAACAGAAGGTGCTATGAACTTTCTTAAAAAAAGTCCTGTTGAACTGTAAATGTTCAATTGAAAAGTTTAGGCCAAGGATTTTTGAGTACGTCATCCTTTAGCGTTAAATAAAATATTCGGTGGTTAGCAAGAATAACTCATATTTTTACCTTGAAATCTCACTGAAAATACCCAACGTTATGGACATATAAAGTTCAACGTCAGAATTTAGCATAGCGTCGGAAAATGGAGTATATGAAGAGTTTTAAGAATCACGGATGCGTTGTCGCTTCCACGACGTTTTTGCGCTACAAAATCGGGGCGAGTAAGTTTTAATAAAATCTTATAAAAGAGCTTGAATGGCATTAAAATTTGCCCACTTTAAAAGAGCAAATGGCTTTCTTATAACCTGAACCACACTTGAATTCAGAAATGTTGCTATGCTACGTAGCATGCGGACAAGACACCTTTAACAGTGTTTTCCAATACTCTCGCGAGTTTCATAGGTAAAACGTTTCTGTTAAATGACAACGATCCCAAGTGATTCTTACAACGAGGACTTAAAACTGTCAGTACATGTCCTTTGTTCACTTCATTGCCGGTCCCAAACAAGAAATCATTAAAAAACACGCTGACGAGCTTCAAATCTTCATATCCAGCGGATATATTTTGACACGAGCAAGCGCAAATCTTGGTTTGAATACGTAAACAAAAATCATTATGTTTACTGATTATAATTACATTTACTGTGCTTGCTAATGTACCACTATTCTATTGTAAAACGTAACACTATATTCATCACCAAACCTACAGAAAGAATTTGAGCAATGAGATATCAAATATTGTTTGTATTAGAAATTTGTCCTCTTTCTTACAGTAAGAATTTTTGCCATAAAATGGATCGTATGCAATGGAAATTTTTAAACCTTTTTTATAGGAATTTACTCAAATAATTTTTTGTTATGAGTTACAAATCAGCAGAATATTTGCAGTCGATAGTTGCCTTTATGAACAAGCAGTTTCCTTTGACGTAACTCGTCGATTCCAAGCCCCGATGAGACACGAATTGTGGGTAACCGAAGCCGAGCGTGGCACCATTCTTAACAGGTCTCTGGAAGCTCTTCCAGTTTGGATCCGGGCTAAACGATTGGCTAATATTTCTTTGGCCCCAATTAGAATCTCTGTTTTGATCCAAAAGCGACAAGGCGATTTCGCCTTCGAACGGCCATTTCAAGAGCGAGTCGTATTCTCCAGGAAGAAGACGGACATAGAGCGATAGATGTGAGCCTTCCCCGCTGCCATTTCCGTACGGGAACACCACGATTTTGAACTTATACCCATAAGGACTCGTGTAAAATGAAGGACTGTGCAACTCTACGTTTGTTTTGTGCTTGGCGTCCTCAAATTTGTTCCAAAAATCGTCGATCTTCCAGTAGAGTTTACTATCAGTGAAAGGCTTACAATGTTTGACAATTTCACGCAATTCGTCAATTTCCTTTCTTTGATCGAGAGCAAGCTGTGAAACGAGCTCAAGATGTTTTTTCATGCCATCCTCTAGATGCTGTGTAAGGCTTCGTTGTGGACACTGCAAGAAAATGAAATACAAATTGTAGATAATTTCTTCCTCTCTGCCAGGTTGGATTTCCAATCATGTACAGAATTGTTGGGTTTGGTCAAAGCCTGGCTTTTAAATCTAAACCTATCGAGGATGTTTGTTTTTCTCCCACAAACTAACAAAAGTTGTATCAAAAACTAGCAATTCTTGTTTTCATAGGGGTTATGAAACCCCTTAAACTAACCCACGCTTTACGATTATAATGGAGAGATTTACGTGAAACGCGAACGGCGCGTTTACGTGAAACGTGAACGGCAATAGTGATCAAGTGACCTTGTTTTTCCCGCCATTTTTTCACGTTCGCCGGTTGCGCTTTGCCGCTTCAACGCGAAACTATACCGTTCTCTATTAATTTCCTATGGTGTTAAAAAGATGAATTTGTTTAACAATCAAAAACGTCTTAAAATGGTAATCACTCCTTGTATTCGATCTAGAAACATTGGACAAGAAGAGCCACCCAGTGGAATGTCCATTGCTAAATTATATATTATTATTATTATTATTATTATTATTATTTATTATTCTCATGGCCTTAATGTGTGATTCAGGGGTGATATTGTAGGGAGAAATAAGATGCTGGTCACTTGTAGAGCTCATAGGGTTGAGACAATTAGTCAAGATATTCCGAGTATAGGTGGATAACCACTGAAAATAAGTCCTCCAGCATCTTGGAGAATAAGTCGATACTTACTTGATGTTGACAGCCAACATGCTTAAAAGGACAATGAATGAGATTTGAGCGACAATCGTGGGTAAGATGGCGATCCACCTGGGAAAAAAACGGTGAAGGATTCATTAGGATACTTCATAAAATTCAAATTACCAAGAAACTTCATTGGAGCAACTGAGAAAACGGCAGGTCCAGAAAGGGACACCGTTACATCGTTAAGCCATTCCAGTTGGTTATCCAGCGGAACCTTCCATTTGAAGGACACTTAGAACCAGAACCCTACAAGGAAGGATTCACGGACACAAAGGCTCTAGAGCATACCAGGCGGGGCCACAGTTAGTGTCCCAAGAGTCAAGGTGTCCCAAATTAGCGGGAAGTAGACGGCGTTGGGCTAAAATACTAAAAGTCGTTAGTCTTTCCTCACCTCTTCTCGTGGAATCTGTGACACACCACAACTGTTCGGGCAACTCAGAGGAAAGCGAGGACATACTTGAAGATGACTCTGTTAGGAAAGACACAAGATAATCTCGAGGCATTACAAACCAACCATAGATAAATTGTTAGAATAATCAGCAACTGGTGGTTAAAAAAAAAAATGTCCAAAATATCGGCAGGGCGACATCTTCGTTTAACTATGATCACATAAAAACTTCCCTATTTCAGAGGATTAATTGGCGTGAAAATGAAACTGTGGGAGGAAATTTAGAACAAAGATGTCACATAAAAATTAACCTTTTGTACGGTCTTCTTGCCCACCAGAGAGTTCTCTGTAGCTCAGTGGTGGGGCATCAAAGCACGAAATCCGAAAGAATAAACTTCGATTCCTCGACGAGGTCTCAGAGACTCAATGTCAATTCAATTTCGTAAAACAACAACAACAAGAACCAAAGGAAATTTGACATATCACTTTTGGCGAGATGATATGATGAATACGTGTATAAATAATACTAACCGGGGCTACATACCTGCATGTCTTCAAACTTGACTTGCGCACGACAATACTGACATTTGGTCAATCTCCTCGGACACTCCTCTGACATGTGACTTGTGATTTGACCACGTGATATTCTCTGGCCACAAGTGCACGTGAAAATGTCAGATTCTCTTTCAATTTCGATTTGACTCATTGTGTGAGACCTGCTTCGTTCTGAACCACGGTAGACCACCTCGCTACGGACATCATCACGACCGACGTAATTGAGGAAAGCTGGAAACGAGGCAGAACGCATGGGTGCAGGAGGACTGGAATTCAACGCTTCTTGCGAGGTGCTGTTGCTTCGATTACCGCCGCGCAAGCCACGTGGATCAAAGCGTACTGAGTGAGGCATACTCTGTCGTTTGCCTCCTCTTGTTATTCCTGGTTCTTCAGTTTGGGAATCAGAACGTCGACAACGTCTTAAGTGTTCCTGAAAGCGAATTTGTTGTAAAAAATTTCAAGCTAAATAATACATACATGTTCCAGATAGTGGCACACAGCTTTTTGCAATT